CCGTAGTGTCCGCGCTGACACTTTGCACACTTTATCCCAAAGCATCACCCAGAAGAGTTTACAAATCATTTCTGAATGCAGCCACCTTTGGAGTATAAAATAAAAAAAACATCCAGCTGAAAACATAGAAAGACACACAAAGAATGAAGCGTCTCCTCTCCTGCAGAGGACGAAGCCAAACTCCTTTTGCACTTCACTTGAAAGATCCCTCCCCCACCCTCCTCATCTGCCATACCGACACAAACCAAACCCAACATAACCATCCTGTGGCAAATTGTAACACAGCTGCTTCAAAACAGTGATTGGCTGAAGTTAACAAGCAGAATAATCCCATTAAATCACAATTTTAATGTATCATCATGAGAACTACCTGCCAGTTTATTTTTACTAAGCCACACCACATTTACTTATCAAATCTAGAGAAAAAAAATTACAAACACAGTGAAAGTTTTTACTCCTTTATTGATAAATGCTTTCCAGACTTTCCAAACTGGATTGTTCAGTTAAAACCAAAACCACAAAATACTTTCAACCTAAAATCCTCCATGTCCTGCTTAGAAGACACAAAGGGCAGCTCTGTTCTGACCCCAAGGGGAAAGCTTGCAAGCCCAGTTCTGGTTTTGGAAAACTAGAGCTTCAAAGTTGGCTTTTTAAATACGATCTTAAAGATTAATTTACAAAATGCAATAGAACTATGTGATATGATGCATGGCATTGAGCTCTGCAGGACAGTGAAGAATCTTCAAACATCTTGAGCTGATGTCTAGAAAGGGGCTATTTGGCTTCTTTGCATCCTATAGGAAGAGATGACACGTTACCCACGTGCAGCACGCCTCACTCCAGGCTACTGAGCTTTCTTTCCAGTGTTACAGACCATAATGACACCAACATATACAGAGAAGCCATTAGCAGCTGTGGATAACATCCATTTCTGATCATCTGGCAAGAAACTCAAAGTCTTTAGCAAACCAGGGCCTGGAGCCACTGAGAAACGCACGGATGAAATTAAGAACCTTAATTCCTTCACCATTTTGAGTTGGAACATCTGACCACAACAAGCTTCACAAAGTGCTGAAGATGGCAATTCCAGACAAACCACAGAAAAATGAATCATTAAAAGTGAGACAAGGCATTCAAGGAACCAAAAACCTTGTTCAGAAGTTAACCAAGAGCCAGCTCCAAACACAGGAGATGGCAGACAGACCTATGCAGTGAAATGACATTCCCGACACCAGCACTTTAATATGTACTGTAGGCAGATGATTGTCAGGATAAGGGATGGGCATTAACAGCCTATTTAGCCTCAAAGTTACTAGAACATCTTGTGTGTCATTTTATTTCCCAGATAGCAGTTTCACAAGACTCATCAATACATTATTCCTTCGTTGACATGTCAACTGCTAGGAACACTTCAGGGACTTAACACAACATCTTTCTGATGTTTAATTAAAATAAGATTTCTGAAGAATATTTCTTAAAGCTTCTATATTAAAGATGCCATTAGGGAGTTTGTTTTGTTTGTTAAAGAGTGGACTAAAAGCAAAGGGCAGCACCCAGACCTACATGTCTGCGTTCACTAACGATCACACTTTATTCTGATTCCGGACACTTTTAAGCAAAGCTAAGGACTGAGACACTCACCAGTCTTCCTGGTTTAAGAGGTAGCAGCAACTACGCCCACCTTCTGGGCAGCTTCTTTCTTGGCTTGGTGAGCCTGCAACACTGCAACAGCCTCCTCCACCTCAGGGAGACAAGTTATCTGGTGAGACCTGCTCTCTTGACCAAAACCTCCCACAGTTCACTCCATCTAAAGGAACAGCCCAGTTTACCTTTGACCGGAGGGACTCTGGAGACTCTAGCATGTGCAGCAGCTCTGAGTTGTCAATCTCTAGCAGCATTCCTGTGATCTTCCCTGCAAGGCTGGGGTGCATAGCTTGAATCAAAGGGAACAAACGCTCTCCTGGAGAAGAAAAAAAAAAAGGAGTTCAGACAGCAGAGTTTCAATTAAAAAGTCATCTTTGAAACCTGAGGGGATTTCCAAAGTAAAACAGTCAGTCAGAACTGGAGTTTCACTTACCCAGCATCTGTTTCTGCTCTTGGGGAGGGGCAGCAGCCAGCATGGAGGCTGTTAGTGGTTCCTGTCCCTGCACATGTACTGCAGGCTGAGGTGCCTATAGAAGGACATAGATGAGTGTTCTGAAATAGATACTAGGCTGATTGCTTCATATTTAGAGACAGTAAGATACTCCCCCTCCTTCTAAAACACAATCTTTGTCAAGCCTACAGCAGACTTAAGTTTCAGAAAAGGACAGATAAGGTGCCCTTGGTTCACAAACATGCTGCCTCCAAGTCCTGAACTCAAAAACCCCCTAATGTCTATAAATGTCTTACAAAAACTGGATCAAACATTGAGATAAATATCGCAAATGAGAAATCAGGCATGGAACTTGCTCTTTTTGTACAATGCAGAGGTTTATGGGAGAAGCAAACTGTGCCTTCAATGATATTCTGGTGAGGATTTGGCAAAGAGGTGAGAGAACAAATGGTTGCAAAATGGGAAAGCAAAGAACCAAGAAAAATATCCTTACAGCAAATCTGGGTGAAAAAGGGTTTGCAAGTAGAAGACAGATAAACCAACCAGGCTGCCCGAGCAAAGGTACAACTGCCAGGTTTTTAAATTCCAAATTACGATGCCTGTCTGGGTTATAAAACTAGCTTGAAGTTTCTGTAAAAACACTTCAGTTGCATGTAAAACCTGTTGGACTGCAGTAACTGCAGGGACTTCACAGCCCAGCCCCTTTGTTACCTGCAAAGGCTGTACAGCTGGATGGGGGCTGCGAACACTTGAGGCATATTTATAGGGAGGAACTGCTCTGGGAGCAGGGGCAGCTACAGGCAGACGAGGAGCTAAATTCTGTGCTGTGGTGCCAACGCCTGCAAAGGAAGAGAACAAACACCTGTAGCAACACGCAAGTTGGGATGTCTGATATTAACTGCTGAATTCAGACTATACCCTGCACAGTCTAATATTTCTTTAGAAACTAGTGTCTCCAAGAATGCAACTGGCTACTTTAGGAAGGGGCTATTCTCCCCAAACTAAACCATGCATTCCACATCCTGCATTTAAGATATTTTCTAGTTAATCACTGGAATAAAACAAATTTGGATGCTCTACTCTGAAAACAATATCCATGACCTACAGAGCCTTTTTTTTTTAAATTGTGTGGTAAATGTTGCAGAGGTGTAGAGATGAGTTCCAAACCAGTGGAAAGCAACCCATCTGGATTTCCACTGCTGTGCTGTAGCACCAACTGTCCCCAGACCCGCACTGCACAGCAAGGAACAGGAAAGATTCAGGTGCTGTCTCTGCCCCTTGCTCCAGGTGGCCTTTGGAAGCAGAAGTCAAGTCTCAACAGCATCCCCCTCCCTCACAGACAAGGGGAAGAGCCCAGGAGGCAAACACCTTACCAACTCGCTGGGCAGCGGCAGGGAGGCCACGAGAGGCCGGAGCATTGCCGGCAGGGGCCAAATGGCGCAGCGCTGGCCGTGGTCCAGACTGGCGCATGGCATTGGGCATTCCCTGGAAGCCTAATGGAAGAAGTAAGGGGAAATCCTCAAAACGGAACTGACTGGCAAGTCAGGACAGTCAGCTGCAGAAAGCAGGTTGGGGTTGTGCATAGAAAGGAAAGCGTGCACTGTTCTTGTTGGAAAGTACAGCCAAGAGGGTCATACAACCAAAATATTGTCTCTAGCACGCTCACCTTGAGGTCTTCCCCCTTGCTGCCAGCGTGGGTTGGGTCTCATCTGTGTCATTTGATTAGGTGCATAGTAAGTGGGTCTGCTCTGAGCCTGAAGAAAGATCAGACAAGCTCAGAGGCAACATCTAAGTGAATAACAAACATTATTGCCAGGACTCAACACTCAATTCACATTAAGAGAACAGGCAGCTGGGAAGTCACAGAATTAACTCTACTCACTGCACCCCTCATTACGGGTGATTTGCTTATAGGCATAAGAAAGGCTCAATGAGATTATTGCAGCTGAACCATCAAAGCTCCAAGACAGGTTGAAAAACCACACTAGCTCAGCTTACCTGGGGCACAGCAGGCATGAAGTATCCCCCAGCAGCAGGCTGGAACTGATTAATGATGGTGTTGGCAGGCAAGGCTCTCATCCCAGCAATGCGCTGCATGTACTGATTAGTTAGATGGGCCTTTCGCTCTTCTTTCCTTTGTGCAAGTGCAACATACAATGGCTTTGAGCCCACAATTCGCCCGTTCATCTCTGTCACAGCTTTTGTAGCTTCCTCTGGAGACGAAAAGCAGACAAAGCCAAACCCTTTGCTCCGTCCATCTTCCAGCATCACCTGCAGTAAAGATCAATTGCTAGTGGAGTACCATTACAAGAACTTAGCCTAAGAATCCATATTTTTAAGGTCAGATTTCAGGCAGGTAGGACAGAACTGTTGCAGAGGTGTAGAGACAGGTACTCGATGAGTGAGAAATCACCTGTCTGGATTTACTCTGCTTTTCTGTAAGCACCATGTGTCCCCAGGCCCACACTGCACAGTAAGGAATGGGAAAGATTTGGTGCAACCGCTGAACACACATAGGGAAATGCCAGTACATGCTTACTGGGAGTCATATCAAACAAGCATGTTTTGCCACTTCCTGCCTCCTTTTCATGAGGGAATGAAGCAAGTTTTCTGTAAAATCCCACTGAGACAGCAAGAAATCTGTGTATTTACTAGTCCAGATGTTCTCAGGACCACAGTGACCAGGGAATACAAGAACTGTCCTTCAATCCCACGCTGCTAACAGTTCCTTCTTCAGGCTTTAAAATCCAAATACCCCCAAACCCCACAGTACCTTGGCACTCGTTATTGACCCAAATGGTGAGAATTCCTTCCTCAGTTTTTCATCATCTATAGTGTCATCTAGGTTTTTAATGTATAGGTTAACACCCTAGAAGGGAGAAAACAGCAAGACATTCATAACATTAAAGAAAATCTTGAGCATATCAACTGTTAGCATCCATCTGCCAGAGCTGTAATTTGCCTGAAAACTCTTAATTTAGCATAATGTTCCTTTCGTACCACCCAAAGCTGAAGGTGATAAATGTTGCAAAGGCGTAGAGACAAGTCCCACTGTGGTGACAGGGAGCTTGTCTGGATTTCCTCTGCTTTCCTCTTGCATCATGTGTCCCCAGTCCAGCACTTTATCACGAGGAGTGGGAAAGATTCAGATGCAATCTCTGACATCACCCAGTTTTGCCATAAATTAGAGACAACAATATAGGGTTACGCTGCCTCCTTCCATCCTTCTAGGTATCCCCATTTTAAAGTAAAGGAAACTGCATGACTTTTCTCATGTCCTCCTGAACATTCCACTGCCAAGACTATGACCTGATGCCCCTTTTGCCCCCAAACACCATGAAATCACCTTTACATTTTAACTCCCGGGATCTCTCATAGGATAGTGACTGACTACTTTGCCAACTCCTTTCAATTCCTGCCAAAAGACTGAAAACAGTGTTTAAATTCAGAAAAGGAACAGATGATTTACCTGGTACCGGCTGAGTCTCTCTTGTTTTAGCTGTTCAAACTTCCGTTTCAGCTCTGCCTGGCGCTCAACCTTCTTCTGTGCTCGGCCTACAAATACCATTTTCCCATTGATATCCTTCCCATTCATTTCTTCTACTGCCTGGATAGAGGGTTCAAGAGGAAACTGTCAACTGCTGAAACAAGACAGTACCTGATCGTGTTAAGAACAGGACTGTCCAAAGCTCACATTGTATCCCTGCCTGGTAGCCAATAAACCAAGATTGCCGTATTACTTTTGCACTGCTTCTGTGTAACAGGCTAATTAAAGACAAACTGAAGTTATCAGGAGAGACCATGCTGACACCACCACTGTAGATGCTGGTTTAACAGCAACTTATGAATTTATCTCCACTCCTTCTTGCAATTAAGGCCAAATTTTAACAAGCATTCTGCTTACAAAAGACCATTTCTAAGTGATGTTTTCACTCTAGAAGGCTTCCTCCTGCCCTGCATTGTAGTACTACTTCAGCAATTAACATTCTTGTTTATACCACTGTGTTCCGTGTGGATCTAGTAACCTGGAGAAATGCCAAGTTACCCTTGAATGTCAAGCTAGTAAGGTGCAAAAGGTCTCTAAGTGCCCACATCTAGAAGAGGTTATGTCTGAGGTAAAATTTTCTCTCATTTTAGTAACAGACCCCTATGATAAACCAAATAAGTTCTTCTTCTCTGAAAATACCCAAGCAGCATAAAGTCATACCTTGTTAGCATCTTCATGCTTTTCAAAGCTCACAAAGCCAAAGCCTTTGGATTTTCCAGTAGGGTCTGTCATCACTTTAACGCTCAGAGTTTTACCTGTTACCAAGGGACAGGGTTAGTGAAATACCATAAAACCATTTCAAGACTATTAAATTCCATATAATAGCCCCAGCCTTCTCTCTCTCATCTGTTGGTCAGCCTCTGCTTCCTGTCCACCATTTGGCACAACTACTACTCACATCTCAACTCTTTGTATTCCGCAGCCTCAAAGTGACCCACAGAGCTACACAGCTGGCAGCAGCACTGCTAAATTACCATGGGTCATGAAATTCACAGCCCCATTAAAAGTGTTTCTGTATTTACCATATTTGCTGAAGAGCTCCTTTAGTCTTTCATCATCCATGTCATCCCCAAAGTTTTTAATATAAACATTGGTGAATTCCTTTGCCTTGGCTCCCAACTCAGCCTCCCGCTCTTTACGAGACTTGAATCTCCCAACAAATCTGTAAGAAAGAATGAAAATCCCAATAAGCAGCTTGTTTCCAAGTGTGGAAAAACGACGTGTGATTTGCAGTGAGGGGCAAAAAATGAGTGTGTAGTAGAAGCTGGGAACAGGGACAAGAAAGGGTGACAGCAGAAGGACAAACAGGCTGCAGATCAACCAGAAAAATCACCTATCTTATGGCAGAGAGAGTCGGACAAGGATGCCCACCCAGCTCTGCAGTGGAGAGAGTACTGGCTGCAGAAACCCACCCCAGCCCACTAGCAAAAGGTAGCAAATCAAGGCTTGGTTAGGGAAACCCACCAGCCCTGTAATGGAGGGGTAGCAGGCCATGGCTTGGGCAGGGTCACTCACCAGCCCTGTAGTGGAGAGGTAGCAGGCCAAGGCTTGGGCCAGGAGAACCAGTGCCTTGTGTGTCCCTGTTAATACCGAGATGCATCACGGTTCATGCGATCGTTGCTGCTTCTGGCTGTGACACTCACACTTTGCGGTCGTTTAGCAGCATGCCGTTCATCTTCTCGATGGCTCTATCTGCAGCATCCTGGGTCTCAAAGTGCACAAATGCGTAGCCCTTAGAGCCATTCTCATCACACACCACCTAGACATGTGGAAGGAAAACAAAACGTCAGCTCTCTGAACACATTTTCTCCTCTGTCACGCTCAGACACAAGGCCAGCATGCAAAAATAGGTTACTGCCAAGGGTCAACACTAGGAAGACGTTATGTGCGTTTCAGACTTGCACACCTCACGACCAAATCTAACATAACTGCAGCTATCCCTGACCTTTTGGTTAACTCTGCCTTTTAGAGACTCCACTCCTCACTCAGTGAAAGGTGTCCCTTTCACTTCCTATGCTGGATGTGTCTGATCATGTCACCCCTATAACAGAACTGGATAAAGTAACCACATCTCACCTTGCAGGACAAAATATTCCCAAACGCTGAGAATGTGTCATAAAGTGCCTTGTTATCAATGGATTTGTCCAGGTTCTTAATGAAGACATTCCCAACCCCTGACTTCCTCAAGGAGGGGTCCCTCTGAGACCACATGATGCGAATGGGTTTTCCTTTGATCACATCAAAATTCATGGTATCTAGAGCACGCTCAGCTGCAAGAGAAGTCAAGAACAGATTTCTGTGGTTTGTTAAAGAATAAAGGTTTCCATCATGTGGGTGAGTTTTCTCTGAATTTTGCTCAGCTCATGGAAACATCTGGGGTAATATCATGGGCAATCAATTTCAACAACTCAATGTTTCAAGGGAGGTCTTTGCAGCACAGTCACTAGATATACTTAAGTATATAATAGGTTTGATAGACTAGTTTAAGTTTACATGATAGTAATGTTTTAACATCCACAGCAAAATGAATGTCAAAATGCTTGGGGTTTATTAGTTACATTCTTAACTATTATAAACAGTAAATTGTTGCACTCAAAGAATGAAAGGAAATACAGGAAACCCTGGGGGAAAAAAGGGAAGTAACAAAAGGGACTGTTTGGCTTGCCTGCTTTTCACAAAGCTCACATCTACCCATACTGATTTCTATTAAGAGAAAAGGATGATCTCCCTGTCAGGTCAGGGAAAATGTGCACGAACACATGGCTGGCTGGGAAGACATGAGTCAGCCTCTATAACTTATGTGGCTGACATAATAAAAAATTATTCCCAAGTTGCTCAATCTAAAGATGATGTCAAGAGTGGATAAAACTCTGGAAAAAAGCCCATATACCTGATCTTATTAACAGGGAAGTGTTTATGTAAATTCTAAAATCCCAAGCACTGTCATTCTAACCTACACTGAAATCCCCCCCACGATTCTATTTCTGCTACCTACTGATATATTAAAAGGATCATTACGTATACACATTAGGATCTTGTTCATAAAATTGAGATGCTTGGAACTCTTCTGTGCCAGAAAACACTCCCAGCATGGAGTGCACAGAGAAGACGACAGACTGTTAATTCCCAGCATGAAGCAGGGAAATAGGCATTAAAATCGAGGAATATTAACAGGGCAGAACCCAAGTCTTCCAAATTTGTTTGTCTCAATTCTTCCAGGCCACCTTCATGCAATGATACTTGCTGATTACTTCAGGAGCAGCAAATTCAAGGAAAATGCCAATTCAAGCACCCTCTCTCATCTGACTGCTAGTGCAAACAGAGTAACTACTCAGCATTTCATGGAACTATCTCTAGGAACTCCAGCGAGACATTGCCTTACAAGTGTCCCTACCCCCAGAGTCAGTTTCAACTACTGCATGAAGTTTCTCAGAATTTTTCATGTGTTTTGAAAGTGTTTTTTCTTGTTGTTGCTTTTTAAATTGAAGTGCTGCTGTCACCATTTTCCCCAGTCCTTCACACATATCCCCAGCTGGAAAACAAACTCTGATGGACTTCATTCTTGAAGTAGTCACACTTGCAAAAAAAAAAAATTTAAGGAGGAAAGTTTACTTGCTATAACTCTACTAGCTCTGTTCAGTCAAAGGTGTTAAATGCAATTAACTGCCATGCTAAGATGATTCCTCAGCTGCTACTCTGAATCAATGCAACTGAGGTTCTTCCTGCAGTCCATTCCTAGTAGGCACTTCAGCAGGCAACTTGGTCTAGATTGTCAAATTTGGCAGTGTTTATTTATAGCAGGGAGAGGTCCTCCAGAAGTATGTGTTGGCAAGGACACAAGCTAGTTGTATATACCATTTGCAGCAGAAACATCTGAAAGGTGACAAGCAGATGAAGCAGTGGCATGCAACCAGAGGGAACTGTGAAACACTTTGCAGCAGCTACTGAGATATAGGCTAGTTCTGAACTTACTCCCAAGTTCTTTCAAGCTTCCTAAGCATATACTTAAACAGATACTTTTGCATTGCTCTTTCAATAGCTTGCTAGTATTCCACTCTATTATTATACTCTGCTTGAAATTCACTCAGACACTTCTTGTGAGCAATGGTGTAAGAAAGCCCTAGATGGATGTCCTGATTTGAGGAAGGTCTGTCATATCCACAGGTGGAAATGCAATCACATTACACCAGGACCTAAGAAATCCTGTAAAAGATCAGCATGAGTTATGTGCATGACTCAGACTAAGCACATCTGATTCATTTCCTTAATCTGAGCAAACACCTTCTCATTTTCTTCTATTTAAGCCACAAAGCTTCAGCCATTTCAGTTCCTATATCTGTTTCTCTCCCACTGGTTCCTGTCATCTTTCCAGCAGACTCAACTGCAACTCATATATAACATTTACACACTCTTAACCCCTTTCAGGCTTCCTTTTAATTCCACTTCTGTAGCCCTCTAGATAGGGAAAGCATATGAATACTCCTTGCAGTTTGCCTCAGGCCTCAAAGTAATTAATCTCCCTTACAGGCTCCCTGATGCAGAGCTAACACAATGCTGGAATTAGCAACCGTGGTTGAGGAGCACAAAGACAACCACATGCACACACACAAAGATTCACCCATGAGAAACTCTGCACAAGGAGTTTTATTCTGCAAAGATGGCTGCTCCACAAACCTCTGGGCTCTCACATCACTAAGCAAAAAAGACCCAACAACAAAAGCACATAGTACAAATTTAACCACTTAGTTTTTTAAAGAGAGGCTGCATATAGAACAGACTTAAATCCCTTGATCACTGAAGTTAGAACAAAAGGCTGTTGGCAATGAAGCATATATAAGTAATCACTCTTCCCCCTTTTAACTTCATACCTGCATTTACATTACACAGGTCTTCTGTTTAAGGAAGAGACAAAGAGTTTATCTATACTCTCTTCTACACCTGTCTTCAGAGACACTTATCTTAATCCCAACTCTGAGTTCCTTCTTGGCTTGGGAAATGTTCTGTTTTCTCTGTACTTTGGAACAGCTTATCTCTACAGCCATATTAAAGTTTCCCTGCTTCATTATCTGAGTTGTCATGTCATAACTGTTGTCAATGTTATGAAACCCTGGAATGCAACTGAATTGCATAAAGAACACATGAAAAAGGAAATTCAGCTTTTCTTTCAAATGAAATGAGTTTGCTTTCTTTCCCTTCTTCACAGTCAAAAAGAATAAATATTACCGACTACAGCTGAGCCCGAACTAGCCAGAACTTTAAAACATTTCCTTAATCTGTCTATCACAGTATGACAGATTCAGTATTCAACATTCACTGGTTACCTCGCTAAAGAACTGCAATCGAAAACAGCAGAGCTTATTTTCACTAAAAATAACCTCTCTGCAACAGACTACCGGTTAGACAATGCATGTGCAGAAAGTAACCCCTTCCAGGGTCAAGCATGACTCCATTAGCTAACAAAAATGTAAGAAAAAGTGCAAGCTTTGAATCAATTCGGACACAGGAACTCAAAGTACAGAACACATTCAGGATGGGACAGTGTGATTTCCCGGTGGCCCCACATAATGGGGAAGAGCTCTGGCTACTTGACTTGCTCTATAGTCTTTCTCTAGTCATATGGACAGAGTCCTCTTTACCACACAAAAAAGTTAAACATTGTTTTCTTCAGATTTATGAAGCACCCATCCTTCCACAAAAGGTGCCAGGGAAATGCTAACTATCATATATTAACTTCTTAACACCTACTACCCCTTCAAGCATACTAACCATGTGTCCGCAAGAACTTCCCTACAAGTTTTCAGAGCACAAAGCTTCCTGATCACTTCTACATGGCATTTTTCTAGCATCTGCTATCACCCATAATCAAAACAGATCCCTACAGCGCTACAGAACACCCCCATCTTTTCACAGATTTAATAAAATGAGGTCAAAATGCATTTCTGATTAGGCATT